AATTACTTTTACAATAATTTTGGCCTTCGAATTCGCTGTTATTCTTGTGTAAATATGGTGTGCCTTAGCTGCTGAGGCGGTGATATTTTAACTTTCAGCGGACACTTTAAATGCATTTTTTTACCTCATTAATTCAAGACGCATTAATTTCCCCTCAATTATAATTTTCTTTTGTTTGAATTATTCAAATATTACGAAGTTAGGAGTTACTCTTTCTCTGTGTGTCTGTGTGGATCTCAATGCCATTTCTCATTAATATATGCTTCTCTATTGATTACTTTACAAATGCGATTTTATTTATGAATCTAAAATCAGTTTAATATTCTTTAAACTCCTAATTCAGTACATGCATTTTTAAACGCACATTGGCTTTGTTCAAATTTCCTACGAAATTCCAACATGGCATGGATTTAATATGTTTTCTTTCTTACATGTTATATTTAAATGCCAAGATTTTTTAATTTATCCTTGCTAACCATGCCTATGTAGTTGCTTTTCAAGGCTTGTATTCCAACAAAAATTCAAATTATATGCGTTTTTTACATTTATGCTATTCAAAATAGCATTCAAATATTTTTCCATTAGATTGAAATGTTAGATCGATAGAGAGTACCAAACATTAAGTGCAATTGTACCAAGTGAAATCGTAAGTATTTTTTTGTAAATATTGTTCTTTCTCTTATTGACATCAAACATGGAGCTTTTCGAACTCAAGATAAATGGGTGGATCTTAGAAATGAAGGTTTTCATTCGTTAGCTTATAGTTCAACTTTGTTTGATTTGCGGAAGAAGAAGTGGATGAAGTCTCAATGATTAAACAATGATAGTACTCTCAATTTTATTGTTATTACACCGTTTGCTTCATATTTCTCATGATACCTGGTTGCTTTTAACATATTTGAACTCGCTTTTATTTTAAATATTTATTTATTTATATCAAATGGGAGGCGTTTTGATAGTTATCATTAGCCCTTTAGTTGACTTCAGGCTTCACAGATGGGAAGGAACATCAAAGTGAAAAAAAATCGAGAGGGAGGGGGAACAGGAGAGTGATTCACAGATCTTAAAGAGATAGAAGGGTGCTTCAAAGATGTAAAAGAGACAGACACAAAGGCAGAGAAAAGGCTAGATGAGTACTGTGGTAGGGGTCGAATATGTCATACAGTGGGGTCATGGTAGTTTGAAGTGAACTGTCGGTTAAAAGACTTTTTGCCGTATGAGTATACGTTGCCCAGGGTGCACCACGTGGAGGTAAGTCTATCGCACACCCCCATTTTAAATATAAATATTATGTATGCCTACATATATATATATATCGCATTATATGATCATATGCTATATCTACTCCGATACTTGTCCAATATATAGCCTAATTTCACCGAGATCCCTCATAATTGGAATGTAATTTTAGCGAATTCTGTCACAAAATTTACATGGCAATAAAAAATGAAAATAAGCTCTACCAGCAACTTTGGGAAGGAAAAATTCGGAATTCACTTCCTTTCTTCTCCAGTTACTTGTGAAAGAATTGCACTGTCTCCTCAAATAGATCGATAAACCGTGCATTATTTTGACTACTGACAAGTATGTTTGTCTTCAATGCCAATTCTCAAGGGGAACCAAGTTTGCAGTCATTTCAATAAGCATCAACTTTATACCAACTCCTCTACAAACACATTTTAGTCTATTTGTCCACCTAAGAAGCAATGTCTGTCGGCATTAACATCTAATAGTTGAATGAACTTTCTTTTTCTCCATAAAATAAGATTTGACGACACTTGCACGCTTGAGTCGCAATTCATATCCATTGTCTCCTCGTCGATTAAATGCCGCTTTAAGAGCTATCAAACACCGCCATCTCAATGCTTCACAAAGCACAGAAAGCAGAAAATAAATCATAGACTCCTATTTTTAGCATAGAAATATTCAACTCAAATGTTGTCTCTTGATATAACAACTCAGCGATGTCAACTTCTTCTAACATTAAAAATTCATCGGTTATTTTTGGAGGCACTTAGTGCGACTAGTGGGCTTTTTAAGTAATCCAATGGATCTTAGGATGTGAATTAAAGGGTGATATTATCTTGATTTCAATTTATTCATGATTCTTGAAAAATGTGTAAAATTTAGTTGTAGAACTCAGCATTGTCACAAAATATAGCATATCAGTAATCTTTCATTACATTTACTCTTGCTAAGGCAATTAAATTGAATTTTACATTAATACTCTTTCCTTTTAGTTACGTTTTAAAGCTTAACTTTCAGGAAAATATTATCTGATAATTAATCTTTTTCAGGTGAAAACTTTTTCCATCTGTGTATCAAAATCTTACTATAAATCTCATTTCTTTTGCTTTGCAGAAATAGTGATTTACCTTAAAAACAGATATTTCTCCTCCATAAATCTTATCCGTTGAAACTTACTCAGATTCAATAGAAGTTATACCGAGAGAAATCCACAAATTAGAATTAAAATCTCATAAAATAATAGTGACTTGCTAATTAATCCACCTCCTTACCGAATGCACATTTGTCTTGCCTAACTACAAACGTACCAAAAGGAAAATGCAGAACACAAATCCATATCTTTGTGACCTTGAGTCAATTTGTTTTAGTCTTCTCTTTGTTTTTTCACTCTGCCTAATTAGTATTCCTTTCAAGCTTGCAATTTATTAGAGGAATATTTTGAGTTATTTCGCCTTTCTTACCTTTACTAAGTCCTAAGGTTAACAAAAAATGTGCATTAAATTCGAATAATTCAATTAAATTGCATAATTTTCCATTGTAAAGAGATTGTATTCTGCTTTAGTCAGTGAAAGTATCTCAGAATAGGCAATGTGCAATGAATCCGTGACACGGAGAAGACATAAAGAAAAAAAACGATTTTTCAAACGCGTTTACTTTTAACTGTCCGAAATTACCATTTCTTATTTGCCCCCTGTATCCTTTATTGGATTTACGATATTTATCCGTAAAATTTAATGATCATGCCAGTTGGATGAATTTGGATTTAATATCGATTTTATTGATTTAACCTCAACTTTTGGCATAAAAATCCTCTCCTAAATCAATCAATTGCCATTTTACAGCATCAATCATTTATTTCCTTTCATCAGCTGGGCAATGTTGATAAAAAACAGAAGATTTAGGAATAGGTTATTTTTCTTGCATTTTCAGTTTCAAAAGTAATGGTACTTAACCGTAGTGTCCCAAGTTGGATCCAGCGGGACTTCATGTACACCTAAGACCGTTCAATAAAATTTTAATGAAACAAATAAATCAGAAAATGGAACATCTTCAGTTAATGCAAATAAATTTTCACCATGGTCAAGGTCATACAAATACACTGAAGGCGCTCCTCTATTACAACTTCTTGTTAGTAAAAGATCATGGATATAATTTTCATTCTTAATTTCAAACTCCTCCTTCATCAAATGGTCATTGGAAGAGACTCATGTTTGAATTTAACATCAAAATTGCTGTGACGGGGTGGTTAAAGGAACTCGAAGGGGGTCAGAAGGACAGTAACTCTATCGTTGGAGCATTAAATTTGCTTAATTCCATGAAATAGTCTTCTGGTTGCAGTCTATGAAAAATTTCAAAATCCTTCTTTTAAATTTCACATTTCTATTTAAATATTGCAATTTCTGCTGCTTGCTTGAACAGCAAACAACCAAACAGCATATGCATGATATAATAATATTTAAGACTTATGCACGGAAAGTTTTTTTAAATCAAATTAATAAAGCATCAGTAATACTACTTACATTATTTTTTCTGGAATGAATGATTTTGCCTCCATCTAAATTAATGCATATTGCAAATTTATTGATAATTAACAAATCTAACATCAAAAAAATGGAAAATTATTTAAACTTCTTTCGTAAAATTGTGCGGAAGACACTTTACGCAATAGCCTAATTAAATTCCCAAAAATGAGCATTTTGCCCCAAAAAATGGAATTTCAAAAGGAAACAGGGAGATTTCTTTGATTCCCATGAAATTTATCTTTCAAATTCCGGAAACGAGACGTTTAACTGAAACGAAGTAATATTTAGCTTAATGGTAAAATGAATTAAATTTTTATTCGTGACTAACTGTAGTATCTTGGGTAGAAATAATACTGACATATTTTTTTTACTGAATTAAAGCCAATATACTAAATTTGGGCAATCATCGAACAGTTTAATAAAAATATTCCCCTGGTTCTTACTCTTCTTTTGATTTTAACACGATCTGGTCGAATAACTGGTAAAATACAGAAGATTTGAAAGTAATTATGATTGAAAAGAAGCAATATTGTTGAATTGGATAATTTTTAGTAAAAAGTATTATTGTCTTTGAATCGATATAATTTCCAAAAATAATGCAACCATGCATTTAGCAATACAACGTAGCACTTATTACACTAATTTAGATTTTAGAACAATTGGACACATTTTTATTTTATACACAGAATGGTATTTTCAAAAGTTGACTAAAGGAAATCGAGTAAAATGCAATTAATTAGTGCACCTTCGTTCTGTAAATTAATCAAAAATAGCACAATAAAACTGCCCAAAACAATGGGAGATTAACTCTCATAAATATTAATAATTACATTGCCACTTGATTTTTTGGGGCTCTATCTTTGCTGTAAATTTGACATTTGATGAAATAAAATTTACTGCGCATTGAAAGGGCTCGCAGAAAAATGCTTCCTTCAGTTATCACAATTATAAAGCCAAACTAGCCAATGACAATTTTTTATGACCTGAAAATTATGCTAATGTAAACCCATATGACAAGTAATATGAGGCCAAGGGTTATTTAGCAGGGCTGTCCTTTCATTCGTTAGCCAGCCAACTTCTAAAATCAAATAAACCCCGATTGAAAGTCTGACCAAAAAGGCCGAACAAAAGTAAAACACAGATCTCTTTTATAGGCAAAAAGAAAATAAATTGATACAAGGAAAGTTCAGCATAAACTCCACCATGAAGGAATGTCATTGAAGATTCTCATTACTTGCAGCGAACGAAGTAAAATTCATGGAAGAATTGACTTTTACTGTCATCGTAATCGCCTAAAGTCTTAGTTCTTGGAGTTCCTGACACGACCGCTGTCTCACCACAGCAGCCAGCTAAAGAGAATCCAGATTCAAGAAGTTTATCGAAAGCCATTTCTAGGGTGTTGTGAGTTAAATAGTATCGACTGGAGTATCGATTATCTTCAGGTCCGCAATCTGGAGCTCTACTTTCATTTAGAGTCTCTCCGAAGACTTCACGACAAACTGAGCTTTTTCCCGATACAAGTATACGAGTGATCTTACGAAAGCGGACGTCAACAAGATTCTCTCGTCCATTCGGAACATGTCCTCTGTAACTAAGTGTGATTGTACTTGATAACGACTTCTTGGCCTCTTGAATATCCGAAACTAAGTTTGGAAGCTTATAAAACTCGGCTTCTATTCTCAGGCGTTCCAAATCTACTGAAGTATGTGGGAGAACAACAGATTTTGAATTACGCAGATAGTCTAGAATGAATGAGAAGATTTCGCCATTTCTGTCGATGAAAATGCGTCCGTTTTTATCTTGAGGTAATTTTTCCGTGGGTGATTTGCTGAACCAGTCGGCGAGCCTAGAACCACTTATTGAATTAAGTGTCGATAGCTGAGCTGAGTAGAAGCATCCACCAATGTTTAAGTCGACCACATCTTCAGACATCTTTTTTTACCAAAATTGAAATTGCAATTGCTCTAACTCCTTAAAGCAGGCAATTTAGTTATCTAATTGGACAGTTAGCGAGCCAATCAGATTAGGCCCTCGGTGATAGGAGATATTAATTTGGGAACGGATGCCACTTTATTTAAAGAGGATCCACAATTTCGAGAAAATTATATTTTTGAAGTTTTATTTTAATTTTTAGTGTTTTATTTTGAAAGAAAAGTATTTTTCTTAGTTTAATCATTTTGGAGGGATTTGTTTAACCCAACAAAAGAGCAAAGCCATCTTTTTACCATTCCTGTTTGATTTTGCCATAATACAATTCTATCTTTGTAAATATATTGATTTAATAATAAAGTTATTAAAGATAGATCAAAGTTTCTAATAATGTGATTTGGAGAAAGGCAGCAAAGTCTGTTATTACTCATTTTCAACCCTCTTCCTCCTACCAAGTTTCCGAGGATGATGGCGTTGTGAACTCAAACTAATGCATCACCGGTTGTAGATAATAAGAGCAGTAATAAAATTGGGAGTAACAAATAGGCTTTGAAGGAGAGAATGGTACAATCCTCGAAAGCAGGAGAGAGGTCTGAATAGGTTTTCGATAGTTTTGAAGTAGAAGTAGAGACAAATATCGGATTAAGTGTGATGTAGTTAGAAAATAAAAAGTTGTACCAGATGGAGGAGACATGAATTTCAGCACTGAGCACATAGCTATTAAAACGTGAAAAGATGTTACATCGAATGACAGTGTTAGCTCCTCTGATTAACAAAGCATGTGGTCACTACGATGCTGTCAGATGACATAGCCTCAGGTAACATTATAAATACAAACAAACCCAAGCAAAGTAAACTTTAACAAAATAAAAGCATTCAAGCTTCAAGTCCGTTAATGAATCTGCCCAAGATTTATCTCCATTTAATGGCATTAAAGTGGAGACAATCTTTAAGTATATGCACGGTTGCACATTAATTTTTTTTGAGAATACAAGCTTAGCCGGCGTTTCAAATTATCAGTGTCACAACAAATTCATTTTATCAAGATTAATGCCTTAGGCACAGTCTGCTTTGTCTTGGTGATAAAAAACGACCATAATGACGATAAAGTAAGAAATGAGTACACGAAATGGAGAGGGAGATATGGAGGAGAGAGGTTTATTACATAAGGCACTGGCTATTCACGGAGTAGATTGGACTAGATTACAGGTAGGCAGCCTGCCGATGCCAGGAGAAATAGCATCTGAGACAAAGTACAATTGCTCTCATTGACTATTGCTATTAAATTCGTCTTTACGCTTTACACTGGTAAATGAATATTTGTAGCACAGTTCAGTCCACAAACTTTGAATTTGTTAAGCGGGTGCTTATTTAACATTAATAATTGAACGAATTGGTAAAATAGATTTCAAAGATTTCTACCTTGAAACCTTAACTGATCACATAGTCCCACATTCACATTTTCACTCTTTCATTTGAAAATGAACTTATTTTGGAAGCTGATAAGGAATTTTCATTTGGACAATTTCACATTTCAATTTCACTTTCAAATCATTAGGAGATACAAAGAAATTATTCATCGAAGTTTACCATTTTCAAAAGCATTGACTACGGTATCACTCTCATTTCCAGGTTGTTGGAGTTCTAGCTTATAGTAAGGTTAATACCATTAAAGAAGCTAGTTTGAGTAGAAGGAAAAGAGGTGTTTATTGTTCTGATTGGTAAAACTTGTATAAATTTGGTAGGTGAATACATTTAAACGTAGATGGAGAATTTAGAGAGAGAACGAAGATATAGCACTCCAGAACACTAGACAACACTGTCTACTTGTGCTAATTGTCCACGAAACATTTCGCCATCCCCCCTACAGATTTCCACTAAACCAAAAGATGACACAAACAAAGCTACGAAGTGGACAAAGGATCGGTTTGTTCTAAAAGAGTGCACTAGGCGATGGTATGAAAGCAACTCACATGTGCAAAAGTAGTAAAATGTGATTGGGAGAATCTGGAAATTTTTTTCTTCATAATTTATTGTCAGGCGTTCACTTTTCCTTCCTTTTTCAATGGTTTTTGAAAATGGCAAACTTCGATGAATAATTTCTTTATATCAATTGATTTGTTTGAAGTTTAACTGCATGATCAGTTAAGGTTTCAAGGTAGAAATCTTCGATGTCCATTTTACCAATTCGTTCAATTATTAATGTTAAATAAGCACCCGTTTAACAAGTTCGAAGTTTTTGGACTGAACCGTGCTATAAATATTCATTTACCATGTAAAGTGTAAAGAGAAATTTAATATCAATAGTTAATGAGAGCAGTTGTACTTTGTCTCAGATGCTATTTCTCCTGGCATCGGCAGGCTGCCTACCTGTAAGCTAGTCCAATCTACTCCGTGAATAGCCAGTGCCTTATGTAATAAACCTCTCTCCTCCATATCTCCCTCTCCATTTCGTGTACTCATTTCTTACTTTATCGTCGTTATGGTCGTTTTTAATTACCAAGACAAAGTAGACTCTGCCTTAGGCAATAAACTTATATAGCCTGAACAAAGTATTTTTTTGTTTTTTTCACTTCATTCATGCGACAGATTCATTTTGTCATAATTATTTTTAATTTTAGTTGATTCCAGTCAACACTGCCGTCTGTTCTGAGTTTCCTCCTTATGGTATATATATTATGCAACTAATCACTGACTTTTATCGCAATAAATGGCTACACAGCTCAGCACAGGTTAAGCAAACATTTTTTGGACAGCATATTAACTAAAAGCAATGGTGGTAATAAATATTGTCTATCCTAATTGCTAGTACTTCTCAGCGATTCAGATTAATTAATTAAAGATGGTTGTTAACACCCCAATAGCAGTGAAAATTCAAAATTACATTTTACACAAAACTTTGATTTGATTGGCTGACCCTAATCTAATTTAGTTCTCCAACTATTTTATGCAAACACACTCTTTCAATTTCTTGGTTTGGGTATAGTTTAATAAGCAAATTATTATGTAAATCACGGACAATTTAGGCAACACGGGATTTTTATTTAATGAAAAAAATTAATTACACGTCTCATTTGTGGCAAAATTTCAACTAGTATAGAAGAGGCCGAAAAAGGTTTCAAACTCCTTAGAGGGATCAAACGACTAATTCTCACGTTCGGCAATAGGACAATTTGGGCTGTGAATAAGATGAGTTTACCTTGACTTCAGAAGGCTTTCTCTATGAGCATTATTTTCTATTTAAATAATTATTTTTATTGGTAATCCTGTGGTGTGCGATAGACTTATCTCCTCGTGGTGCACCCTGGGCAACGTATAATCATACGGCAAAAAAAGTATATTAACCGGCAGTTGATTTCTCACTTTAAACTACCATCATCTCACTATATGTCATATTTGACCCCTTCCACGGTATTCACTCCATATTTTCCTCCACCTTTGTCTGTCTCTTTTATATCTGTGAATCACTCTTCTGCTACCCTCTCCAATTTTTCTCACTTTGATTTTCCTCCTCTACTCTGTGAAGTCTAAAGTTAACTAAAGGGATAATGATAACTGTCAAAACGCCTGCCATTTGTTAAAAATAAATAAATTGGTAATCCTAAACACCAACAAAATTTTGATTCATTAAAAAAACAGAAATAGTCCAAAACAGCTGGAAGATAAGAAGTTAACAAAGTAGCATTGAAATAGTGTGTCGCTTACGGCA